GTGAAGGCAGGCGAGAGCTACACACACATCCAGTACCTGTTTGAGCAGGAGAGCTTCGACCATGTGCCCGCCCTCGTGCGCTATCATGTGGGCAGCCGCAAGGCTGTGTCAGAGCAGAGTGGTGCCATCATCTACTGCCCGGTGAACCGCACCTTCCCACTGCGCTACCTCGAGGCCAGCTATGGCCTGGGACAGGGGAGTAGCAAGCCCGCCAGCCCCGTCAGCCCCTCAGGCCCCAAGGGCAGCCACATGAAGCGGCGCAGCGTCACCATGACCGACGGACTCACTGCGGACAAGGTCACCCGCAGCGATGGCTGCCCCACCAGGTCAGCCAGGGCCCCATTTGTCAAATGGGGATGTGGGTAATGAGAGGGCTAGTGAGAAAGGGAAGGGCCAGGCACACTGAAATGGGATGAAATTCCCCTCCTGGAGCCTCTGTGTGCAGGGAGGAATGGGAGGAAGGTTGGGCCATACTGTGTGGATGTACGGAAGGAAGGACTTGCAGGGAGTCAGACCCAAGTGGCAGTCCCAGCTCTGCCACTTGCTGGCCATGTGCCCTTGACCCTGTCACCTCTCCTTTATTATCTCCATGTTCCTACCTATAAAGGCTTTCATTCAAGCAGCCCTCCCTATGCCAGGGGAGCCCTGAGTCCTGAACCAGAGAGGGGCCTGGTCCCTGCCACCTGATGCCACCCCTCCATCCTACACAGCTAGGCCAAGGTGGGCATCCGAGCAGAGGGCTTTACAGCATGGAAATCACTGCACAGGGAATGGGATGTTCTCAGCATATTTTAATTACACCTGGTTGTCTCTGGGGCTAAAACCAGGCCCTGGATGCCAGGAAAAGCCACAGCAGCTGCTGGTTCCTGAGATCCTACCAAGTGTTAAGTGCTGTACGTGGCCAATCTCATCAATGCCCACTTCCTCCTGGGAGGTGGGTCCTGCCCATACACCCAATTTGTAGATGAGGACATAGGCTTAAAGGGGGGAAGCTGCTTGCTAGAGAGTGGGTAGGATCAAGATTCGAACCCAGGTCTGTAGACTCTGAAGTCTGTGCCCCAAGTTTCTGTAGCTTCCCTGGCTATTTGCAGAGATCGGCTGTCCTGTGCCACCTGCACTTGGATAGGCCCTTGAGGCCCCACCTCCCGGGGGCTGGGTTGGGTGCTCCCAGTCAAGGAATTGATGAATGGATACCCTGTGGGCAGCAGCCACTTGGCCTGTGGTTTGGAGCCAGTAAACATAATGGTGCCAGGATCCACAGACCATGTGTGCCTGAGGCATCCTGAGCATAGCTGGGAGCAGTGAGGAGAGGTCAGAATGGTGGGCCTACTTCCTAAGGCTCCCCACTCTTCCTGCTAGCCCCTCTCCCCAGACCGTTCTGAAGGTCGGAGGAAAGATTCTGCTTATCAAGCTAAGGGCACTTGTGAGGAGCCGTGTCTGCCCAGAGAATGGTTGTAGTCGACTCATTTGCACAAAGGCACTCGTGGGGTGTTGAATTCTGGCCTGTACCTCCTTTCCCATCCCCTCCTCCTTGGGAAAGGAGAGAAACAGAGGAGCGTGAGAAGTGTTGGCTCAGCTGGGTGCCCCCAAGCCTCATCCTCAGGCTGCTCTAGGCTTCGTGGGAGGGGAAGCTGGGTAGGAATGGAGGAGAGCAGGGTCATGAGGAGGATACCAACTAGGAACTGGGCTGATGGCCAAGCGCGGTGGCTCATGCCTGTAATCCCAGCACTTTGGGAGGATGAGGTGGGCGGATCACCTGAGGTCAGAAGTTCAAGACAAGCCTGGCCAACATGGTGAAACTCCATCTCTACTAAAAATACAAAAAATTAGCCAGGCTTGGTGGCGGGCACCTGTAATCCCAGCTACTTGGAGGCTGAAGCAGGAGAATGTCTTGAATCCGGGAGGTGGGTTCAGCAGTTGCAGTGAGCTGAAATCACGCCATGGCACTCCAGCCCGGGCGACAGAATGAAACTCCATCTCCAAAAAAAAGGGAAGAAACCAGGCGTGCTCGCCAGCAGGGTTCCTAGCTCTGCTCCTGACTCCCTATGTCCCCTCCCTCCTCTGGGCTTCAGGTTTTTTTGTACCTATCAGTCGGGAGGTTGGATTTGATAATCTCCAAGCCTTCTCTGCCTCTGAAGTTCAAGGTGAAGAGGTGGGGGGGTCCCAGAGGCAGGCTGAGGCCCCTGACTTCTGGGCTACCTGCCCATGATGGTATCTGCTCCACAGTACGTCGCTGCCCCGCCCTCGGGACTCCATCCGCAGCTGTGCCCTCAGCATGGACCAGATCCCGGACCTGCACTCACCCATGTCGCCCATCTCCGAGAGCCCTAGCTCCCCTGCCTACAGCACTGGTATGGCCAGCAGAGGGGTGGAGCAGGTGGAGGGAATCTGTTGTTGAAGACTTCTGTAACCTATGTGTGGTTATGTATGTTTCTGCCTCTTTTCTGAGGCGAGACCTTTACTAAGAGCAATAATTGACACTGGAAACCTGCTAGCAGAACTGTTAATATCAACATATAAGATGTATCCATGGATTGTTTATTTAGCAACTATTTATTTATTTATTTATTTTCGAGGCAGTTTTGCTCCTGTTGCCCAGGCTGGAGTGCAGTGGCGGGATCTTGGCTCACTGCAACCTC